CCAACCAGCGGGAGGGCTCCGCGCTTTCCTGGCCCTCCCCAGCGCTCAGAGGCTCAAGTGCGCCGGCTCCTGGATTGCAGTCACCTCCGAGCCATTTAAGATCAGCTCCAACTTTCTGCATGTGCTAAATACCGTGCGGAGCCGCGTTGCGCCGGAATGCAAGCCAATCAGTATATGAAAAAAAAAAAATAGATCTTTAATAAGATTTATTAGCCGCCCGGCTCCCCCTCTTCCACAGCCACCCCTCCTCGTGCTCTCTGCCCCTGCCCCTCCCTCCGCTAAATCATTGGAGGTGGGATATACGGCGGACTGCTGGTGCTGTTAGTTTTGATTTTCTTAACAAAAAAGGAGGTTTTCGTCGGGGAAGAGCCGCAGCCCTGTCCATTCCCTGGGCTGCTCGGCCGGTCCCTCCCGCGGGTAGGGGCCACCCCGCCACCGGACCTGTTGCGGCGGCTGTGCGGGCGGAGCGGCGGCGGGGTCCGGCCAGGAGCGGGGATCAGCTTCGCGGAGGGCTCGGATTTAGACTCCCAGCGCCGGCCGCAGGAGAAGGGCGATCCGGAGGGGAGCGGAGGGGGCTGAGATGGGTCCGCAGACACCGCTCAGAGCGAGGGTTTGCCCGCGGATCTAAGGAACACACCGGGTGTCCTCCCCCCGCCCTCGGCTCAATGAAGGGTCGAGGCGAAAGCAGATTAAAACCATATGAACCGGGATAAATCCCTGCCGATCAGAAGATGTAATCTCCTGTGATTCCATCAGATATATTTCTCAATAGAAACATATCCCGATTTATTCCCTCCTCGCATATTTTTTCCCTTGCAGTTGAGGAAAGGAGCTGCTCCAGCGGCCGCGGACCCCTGGCCATCGGGATCCGCCGTGCCTTTTTCGGTCGAGGGAAGGGGGAGATAGCATAAGATTTATATTTTCAGAATTAATTTTATTTTGTAACTTTTGCATTTCCCGACCCCAATGCTCTCGCCGCGCTCCCCCGCGGGACGTATGCGAAGACGCGAGGAGCAGGGCTGTGTTTTAAAACGGGCAGGCCGGGGCAGGAGCTC